CTGGCTAATCCAACACAAAGCCTGTGAGGGAGGTAGACAAGGCAGCATGCTGGAGGTATTTCTGAAAGGCAAGGAGATGGTGTAACAATCGTACACACCATTCATCATCACTTTTATACCACAAAGTCTGCTACTGTAGGTGTTTGTCTGGCTCTGTATTATTGTATATATATGTGAGTGTATCAAAAAGGAACGTCTTAAGTCTACTCTTAAAGGTAGAGAGGGTGTCCGCCTCCCGAACTGAGACTGGGAGTTAGTTCCATAGGAGAGGAGCTTGATAGCTAAAGGCTCTGCCTCCCATTCTGCTTCTGTGGACTCTAGGAACCACAAGTAAACCTGCACTCTGAGAGTGAAGTGCTCTGTTAGGATGATAAGGCTCTAAGATACGTCTTTAAGATATGATGGAGCCTTGTCATTAAGGGCTTTGTATGTTAGGAGAAGGATTTTAAATTCTATTCTGAATTTTACAGGGAGCCAGTGGAGAGAAGCTAATATGGGAGAGATATGATCTCTCTTGCTAGTTCCTGTCAGTACTCTGGCTGCAGCATTTTGGATTAACTGGAGGCTTTTTAGGGAATTATTGGGACATCCTGAAAGTCTTGAGGTCTGATAATTTTATTTAAAATGTCCAGTGTCACATTTTACTGGTGCATTTCCCACATTTTGCAAAGGAAGATTCAATAAACACCAACTTACACAACAATAACCTGCACCATGCAGAATATTATGGATTTATAGTTTACATTTTATCTATTAAATAAGTGTAACTGCTCAGTCAACTGTGAGCTTTTTTTTTAATCCTGTGTGAATTTGTGGATGATGTGCCAATACCACATTAAAGAAAAATGTTTCTGTTATTTCTTTGTTCACAAGAGAATTCCACACAAAAAGCCTAAATACTGAAGCATGTGGGACATGGATAGCGGCGCTCCGGGTTCATTTCGGGGGCTAATCTTTTCCCTCAAATCAAACACAAAATGGCAGTTACGTGTTAAGGAACTCAATCGAGCATCCCAAACACTTCAATAATTAATTTTCCCCCAGATTGTCAGACATCCATAATGAATAACATCCACTGTGAATTATTTACACAGTCATCCTTCATGGCACAACTTACTGACTGACACTGAGTCACCCAGTGTGTCTGCTGTTGTGTGTGTGTGTGTGTGTGTGTGTGCTGACACGTGGCTCCAAACTAGGATGTAGTAATGGCACTGTGTTTGAAAAGAACAGAACAAAAGCTAATTACAGCAGTTAGCATGTGCATGTACTACCAGCTCCCCCATCAGCACAAAGCAGGGACATGCACACTGGAAAAGTTGTTTTCTCTGGAGAAATCAGAGCCACAACCTCTGGAACTATTTCTATGTCAGTTTCAAAACATCTGCCCAAACAAATAGAAATTTTGTACACAAACCATAGTAATGGTATCCATCTCTGCAGAGACAAAGTTCATGTTATTCCACAAACCAGAAGCTGAAGCTTGTGAAATGTTGGAAGTCCAGTGAGTCCAACCTTGGCTACAGACCACAATGTTGGCCAATGCTGTAAACTTTGCCTCTACAGACTAACTGAATAAACTCACCTGTCACAGCTTTCAGCCTTCAGTTCTGGGCTAAGAAAATTCCTATTCAGTGGTCATGGCATTAAGGAGAACACTGATTTGGCTTTGCTCACTAGCAGGTAATGTGTGAAATGGGGCCTGACAGGAGGCAGACAGGGATGCACCCTGTCTACTGCATGGAGATAAATTAATGACGAAAGGATAAAAAGTTGGATATCAACACTGTGCGTATGTGTTTGCTTGCAGTGCTGTCTACCCCTACAGCTCAAGATGAAACTGTGCATCAGAACTGCAGCTTGCACACTCCCCTCTTGGAGCTTCTTCAGGTAAACTGTTAATGTCTGTTCTACCAGAACACCTGCTGTCACATGCACACTAATGTTGCTCATATTCCAGGATGTCATGTTTTTGGTTGCAACTTGCTTTTCATGTCATATCATTTTGTCAAATAGGAACAAAACAAGTGTTGTGTCTGATATTAACCAACAGGACGCCATAGAGTGCGATGAAGCCCTGCTGTCTGCAGGGAGCGCTCAGCAGACAGCTGTACTGCTGCTCTCTCTGAGGAGGCTGACTGATCCTGTGCAAAAACACCAGCTGAAAGGTAGGAGGATGAGTCGGAGCCACATGCGCTTGTGTGTTCTTGTCTGGTTTTCCAGCTCTTTGTGAGAACAGCTGAACTATTAGACCTTTAGTGTGAGAACATGTTGTCCAGTCTTCAACCAAAGGGCAGCACAGTGGCACAGTGGTTAGCACTGTTGCCTCACAGTGAGAAGGTTCCGGGTTCAGGCCCCACCCCACTTTCTGTGTGGAGTTTGCATGTTCTCCCCGTCCTTGCGTGGGTTCTCTCCAGGTACTCTGGCTTCCTCCCACAGTCCAAAGACATGTAGCTTAGGTTGATTGGTGTCTCTAAATTGCCCATAGAAGTGTGTGTGGTTGTTCGTTTATGTGTTAGCCCTGCGATGGATTGGCGACCTGTCCAGGGTGTACCCCGCCTTCGCCCAATTGCCTCGTGACCCCGTTCAGGAATTAAGTGGTACAAAATGAAAGAATCAACCAAAGGGCGGTTGGAAGTTTTACATTGGGTTTAGGGTTAATTTTCTAAACTGCAGTCAATAGAATAATGATTTTCACAGAGCCTGAGTTCTCATGGAGAGCAGTACTGTAAGGCACCAAATTTATCACATTTGTTTGCTACTCTGTGAGATGAACACCAAATCAGGTATCACTCAGGTACTAAGATGTCCTCATTACTGATGTAAGATGTCAAGTCATTTCTACAGATGACTCTTTGCTGAATAAAGGGCATGTTTCTCTTTGCAAGTGGCTCCAGATTTCAATCAATTCTATGTGGAGTTCTCTGGCCACCGGTTCACGGCCTAGGCATGAAGGATAACTGACAACAGAAACACAATCAAAATGGACATCAAACAAGTGAAATATTTTATCCCTGTTAATTAAATATTGATATACAGAATGCCAAGGTGCTGAGCCAAAGAAGTGCCCTGAAGCTGAAGTGCCAGACAATGGAGGGTTGGTGTGTGTCACAGTTGACAACAAGCGCTACTGCAAACCTATGTGCAACCACGTAAGTGGTACATTCACTTTTCTGCATATTGAAAAAAACATTGTAAGAACTATGGAGAGTTCTGTGCAAAAAGGAAGGAGGTTGTAAAGTGGCTTTTCCTTTTGCAGGGTTATGATTTTGGCTTTCTGAGGATAAGTCGTTTGTATGATGACTGCAGTGAGCAGACAGGATATAAATGGAACACCCAGTATATAGGAGGAAACAAGCTCGCTGTGTGCAACGGTAACTTTTTAGGTTTTATTAACATTTATTTATTTAATATTTAAGACAAAGTTCAATCCCTCTTTAAATGTAAATGCGATTCGGTGCAGCTATGTCTTATTGCTAATGTATGTCCTGAACTGTCTGTACAACGAAACAGATGTTTGTGCAGAAACATTTTATGGAGGATGTTACATTGTGAAGGTAAACCTAACCTACTTTCCATCATTCTGTAGAAGACAGTATTCAAATTGCAGGAGCAAAGTCTGCCTATTTTCCAGAAGGTCAGGACTGCCTAACGACCAAGAGCAGTAGCCAACTGCAGAACAGCACCATTTGGAATTTTACCACTGAGCTGAAGAATCAAGGCATACAGGTAGACAAACACTATGTGTGTCTCGTATGTGGAACAACATAAAAAGTAAAACAAAAAAAAGGATCAACAAAGTTGTGAAAGCTGTGGAAGAATACTCCCTTCAAGCTGCATTGACAAATAAAGCTTTGGAAGGACTTACAAACTGTATGGGTGTTTCCTTCCTCTGGTGTGACCTGAATGATTAGCTTTGTTGGTATTAGTGCTCACCACATATATGGACAGACCAGCAGCTCCTAGCAGTGAAGCCACTGCCCTGGTGGCTGGTTGCAGTATAGGTCATAAGCCCCGCCTCCTCCATGTTAGCGGTGTGGGGCCCTTTAAGCAGTGTCTACCTTTGGCCCTTACTTATTGATACATTTATTGTGTAACATTTAAGAAACTAGGACTAAAGATTAAACACTGGTACTCAAATAGAAACACTTTGGATTAAAAGTGCAAATCAACGACTGCATCACTGAATTCACATTAACAGTCACTGACTGGTTATGTGCTTCAGGATCTGGATGAGAGCAGCACTTAAAATGAGATTAACCACTCTGCCAAATGGACTGCCTTGTCTGCTCTCAGGTTCTGCTAACATATCCAGGCGTAGCTGACTGAGGTCAAGGTTAAAAAGTCAAAATGAGATTGCAGGACCTCATTAGGGAGCCATTGACATTTCACATCATTCTATTTGGAATCACTCTAATCAGAGTGAAAATGGCCCTCTGGTGCAGGCTGATGGACCGTCTAATCATCACTTATAGAAAATAAGAGGCCTGAGGGACTAACAGTGGGGGGGAAAATCACAATCCCCCAATTAGGTGGCAATAGACAAAAAACGGTCTCTTTTCCTGCAGCACCTTTTGCTGGTAAATGACTTGCAACACTTCAGTAGTCTAAGTATGTGTGTTGAAACACACATTTCAGCTTAGGAATTCTCAGTGCTACAGCTTACAAATCACAACAGTGTGCTTCCAACTTTGTGGCAGCGGTTTAAGGAGGATCCAAACCTGCTAAACATTCAAAAAAGCACTTTCCAGTTTTGTGGAACCAACCTGCACTAATGAAATCACAATGAAATGTTATTGGAGTTCAACTAACATGCAGTAATAAAGAAATGTGTTTCAGTCTGTTAATAAATTCAATACAGTTCAACAGTGTTTCAGCATGAAAAGCTGACTCAACCCATATCACAGCAGTGTTACGCTATGTCCACCAGAGGGCAGTATAAAATCACTTTTCAGAAAGCCTTGATATTCCAGCAGTGACACACACTTCATTCAGTTTGTTTTATTTAGCTAGTGAACATAAATGTAATGTAATATTTCACGTTAAAACAAGTGGCTGAAGATAGAAACAAAACTGCAGTGTATTTTTAAAATTACAACTTTAACATTTGTACCTCTTTTTTAAGTTCTTCCAGTAACAACGTACATACAGTCTCTTGGTCTGTCTACTAACTGAGGTCACTCACCCAACAGATGTGCTTTTTTCATGCAATGTCTCCAAGTGAATATTAAAGAACAAACAGTCCTTGTAAAGATAAAACCTGCATTTGGATAAATATTATTACAACACATTTCGTTTCCAATCTCACAGTTGTGCCAAATCTAATGCTGCTCACGTCCCTGGCTGCTGCCCCGCTTCTGCAAAAAAACAACAACAAACAAAAAAAACAAGGCAGACAAATTGAATAAAAACCTATAAACTCAGGTAAAACATGAATGAGCTTTAACTGCTTGAAACTGAGGATCAGTGTACTGCACCGTCGATGTGAATGATATTTTTGTGGCCCGGTCTGGTTCTAGCAGAATATGAATGACTGTGTCCCTTCTGAAAATAGTTTTCATTCGACTGAACAAAAGCCTCCTTCACTACACAGAAACTCACCGACTGCAGAAGCTGTATTTCTGAACGGAGCGCCTCTCGCAGCAGCTCCAGCTCTCCTTCTTTATGCATCTCCAGCTCCTTTCTCAATCTGGTAAACAAACCAATGTCAGTTTCTAAAACTGGTGGATGAAAACTAATTAAAGAGCAATTTGTAACAAGAAGCTTCAGCATTTTCAGTTCTTTATATTGAAATCTGAAGCTTTTTGAAATGTTTTAATCACTGAGAAAATAAACAAAACTAAATGAACTATAGTGGTGCTCATGACGATAGTGGCACAGAATGCTCACACATAATCCAGTATATCCCAATTTCACATAAATAACAAATAAGATGCTTTCTATTTCAATATTTTTACTAGTAATATGCACAATAACTTGCTGTAAGCTGCTGTAGACTAACAGGAAATAGGACTTTATGATACTTAGCTCACACCTGTCGTATGATTCTTGCCTCAAACATACTGCTGTCAGTACCTTAGATCATTGTGTCACCTTTGACCTGATAAAAGACTGAGTACCCCTGCTCTGTAAATACAATAAATATCCAAATATGTTTTGAAAAATAACACAGCTGTAGAAAGAAGTCCTGCTCTAATAAGCTGCACAGGGGTGAAGATTTCCAGAAGGCTCCAAAGGACAAATTAACAGACAGCAATAAATCAATTGTATACATTTGTCACACTGAAATCATCAGCCTGTAGCCAACAGCAGACTTTAAAATGCGTGGTTGCAGGAAAAGAAATCAAAATGAGGAGGGACACACCAACCAAAACACATTAGATCAAGACTCAGAAGTGCATTATTGCAGTGCCTGTTTACTGAGGAGTAATCCAGACCTGCTATTTCATTTACTCTTAGTCCACTGTCAGTTTTCATGATCATGGCATCCTGGTTGACTCTGTTGTTTACACTGCAGTAATAATCTCAGGATTACGTGCACTGACTGTGGTTTCTGTCATACCTTTGTAAAGTTTTGTCTCCGCTGCAGCAGACAGGGCAAAACAATGCTGGTTGAAAAGCATCAGTTTTATACTTTACAGAAAATTTAGGCAAAAAGAAGAAAAGTAATGATCTCTGAACACTTGTAACCTTCGGTCATTGCTCCTGTAACAACCTCTTGTTCGTAAAGAATCAGATACAAACAGTTTGAAACATGCAGGCAGAAGAAAGGCGACAACCTGAACCTTCTGGGAACACGACACGCTGCCCCTCTGTTATAAACTAAAACTATCTCTGTCTGTAAAAACTGATCATATAGTAAAAAAAAGAAATAATTCACACTCTAACTTCATAAATGAACATTAAACTGCTTTATTCAGTTCAGTTTACCTCTGGAAAACATTTTCAAAGCCAATGAATGCCTTGGCTGTTATACAGCAGGCGAGTGTGAAGGAAGTGCACTGGGCTACATCTACGACAAGCCTCTGTCTTTCTTTTATTGGAAGTTAATGAAACAATAAAAGAACAAAACAAAAATTGTATTTTCACTGTCTGAAAATCAGCAGCAGTGTTTTAAAATTCACACTTTGTGGAACCTAACAATCAGTTTTTAAGGTGAGTGCTGCCACAGCACAATGTTGTTTCTACCAGGAAGACACTCATTTGGCACACTGGATAGCGGGCGTCTCTGCAGAGTTTTATTAGATTCCTGCAGTACCGTGACATCTTTGAATGCGACTTCACAACTGATAGAGCAGTAATATATCAAGAGGAAAACCCTACACATCAAAACCTACATTACAGCTTCTAAGCCATCAGTCCCAAGCACACTGACTGGATATTTCAGGTATCTTTCTATTCTGTGACAGTGAACAATCTGCACCATCAGCCGCCCTGTTTTGCACACTGAACACTTTTTAAATGACTGTAGCACTCATTCAAATTGACATGCATTCAATTTCCAACAATCAATAAGCGCAGAGTTAAATATGCGTTTTAAAGAGACGCTGCAGTGGCTGAAGACAGGATTGATGGTTTCAGTTCAGAATGGATGATCAGAAGAATGAGTGAGAGGGGGCCCCTCTCATCCAAAGCCACATCCTCAGCACTTCCTGAGGCTAATAAGCCCAGGGATAATGAAGAACCTCGTATATTTGATGAGACTGATGGATGAACAGGACATGCTATCCACATGCACGATTTAAGGCAAGGCCGGGAAAAGCAGCGGGCACTCAGAACATAAAGAGGGAGTAATGGACAGAGAAAAATAAATAGGGCTGAGGCAGAACATACAGCTGAATGTGGCGGCTCGTATTATGACTGATTACATGAGTATCATCCTGTTAGCAAGCACAGTGAGAACACCTAATTACATACAGGCATAAGGTGATTTAAAAGGAGTTACAATAAACAAATGCATATTAAAATATGACTTTAAGACCATGTATAAACACCATCATCCAGACAGGTTTGGGGATTTGTTAATCACTTTACATCTATGTTACTGTAGAGAAGACATTACCCAAAGTCGTGGCATCAGCAGTAACAGTGACTCCTTCCTGGAACACTATTGATCTCCAGTCTTTAATCAAATAAAGGAAGTCTTGTAACAAGATGGCCCAGCGCTCACCTACCAGTCATTTTTCATTGGGACATGATCAATGCATATTCTACAACTAAATGATATTCAAATGTGGTGAGTAGACGGTGTCTGAGAAGTCCTGATGAGCGGTGTACGCTATCAGTGTCTATTGTTCTGTTTGGCTGCATTACTATACTGGTTCCTCTCATCAAACCATTCAGCGGTTAGGATGTGAATACGATGCAGGAGCGTTCACAATCAGCAGACCTCAGTCCAGTTAAACACCTACTGGAGGCTTTGTATCACTCTCCACTACCACCGTTTCAACACTAAAAGGCCTTTTCCAGTGTAATCTGCTGTACCAACCCATAACTGAACGTCCTTGCCCAGGGTTCTGCTTTTGTTTCCCCTGCTTTCAGCACCCCTCAGGAGGTGCAGTAGAACTAAATAAAGTTCCATGTACTCACAGAAGGAGGGGGTGGGTGCTTTAGGATGTGAATACTATGTACAGTTTAGTACTGTACATATCTCACCTCAGTCGAAGGCGTATGGCTGTGGGGTTCCTCCGTACATGTAGTTTACAGTACAGGTACATACACAAGTCGTATTTTTCCTAAACTGTATTCATTTGTTGGTAAGTTGCTGGATAAGCAACTCTCTGTCCCTCATTTGTTTTTCCTCACAAACCTCCCTGCAACAATCACATTAGTCTCTATTTCTTTTTTCCACTTGTTGACTGAATGAAATACACTGCAGGCCAGAGCCTTAATTAAGCCAAATTGTCTTAATGCCCGGTTATTTACACTTCTAGATCTGGACTCCAGCCAGGAGGATAGAGAGAGAAATACAGATGGAAGCTGGGCTCACCGGTCTCTTCAGCACTTCTCACAGTGTGATTCAGTTCTGCGCCTCATAAATAATACCTTTTATCTGACAAGCATGCAGAATGCTGGGTTACGTTGTGCTGTTGTTAACACTGTGACTCCTTCCTCTGTGCACTTAGCATGATGAGAGCGGCTGCAGCTATGAGTGCCACTACTGAGATGAATTTTTAGCATTTAAAGTAAAGAAAACCACCGAGTCCTTGTGTGGAGAGGACAGTGGTTGAACTTTGTACAACAGGGCCTCTGACTGTTCGCAAGACACAAAACACAACTAATTAAACATCAGCACAGCTTAAAATATCCAGGGGCTCTAAGGAGACCTCTGTGAGTTAATGTTTTATGAGTTGCTACACATCCTACTGATTTATTTACAGTTTGTTCTGTTCTATTTTGCTCCTTTGTATTTTATTTGCTTTTATTTCCCAGTAGCATTTATGTCTATTGAGGATGACATTCTGAGACATACTGAGCAGAACCATGTGCCAACCCTGTGGTACCAAAAACCTTTTATTCAGCGGTGTGGTAAGTTTAAGTGCTTAAGTACTATATTTGAGGTACTGCCCTGTGCTTCCATTCTGTGGTCCTGATAATAACTAATATTACAAGCTTACATAACACTGGCAGAGGCAGGCTCTGTCCAGACAGCTGATGATACTCACCTTAGACAGGTGCTGTCAGTAAGAGGTTTCTGACTGACAAACTGGATCTCTGCTTTCAGAGACTCTGTCACTGCCTCGGCCTCACTCAACTGCCACTCCAGCTCTGTCGTCACAAGTAATAAATCAGACACAACAAGAGACACACATTCTGTAAGTGCATGAAAACATTTGCTGAGGCAGCTGACAACTGGACAAAATCTGGATTATAGTCCCTCCACCATCACCTTGGGATGTTCGTACTGTAAAGCACTTGACCTCTCTGAGGCCAAATTTAGCACTGCAAAAAGAACTGCTGTGCATTGGTTTGGCCTCTGACAAACTCTGGTATTCATGGCTCTTTTACTCAAACTGGGCTTATTAATAGTATTTCATCTTCAAACCTGTACCTGTAGTGTAGTAATACATTATATATTTTTGGTTACAACATACCTGCACCTGTATTTGTACTGGGCAGCTTCCTACTAATGCATACTGTCTGTATATAAGGTTCCTTTAACTTACATTACAAAACATTTTTCCTGCCATTTGTGATCTCCTGTCTAACCCAACCATAGAGCCAGAAACATCTACACTCAGGATTCAACTGTCTTGGCAGTGTGGTTGACTTTTCAGTGTTTAACTGGTTTTGGCTGTTATTATTTTTACCCCTCCAGCTTTAGGTTCATTGACAGAATGTTAAAAACAAGCTGGAGAATTGATGGTTTACAACACAGTTTGTGAATCATAAAGTGTGTTAAGCAAAAAAAAAAAAAAAAGAAGTGTAGCAGTTCTCCATGTACATACTCTTTTAAAACCACATTATGTGACATGAAGTACAGTACGCACCTTTCAGGTTGCTATCCAGGCCCTGTAACTCCAGCTGGAGCATTCTCTTCTCCCCCTGCATGGAGCTCATGTGACTGTTTCTGCAGCTCATCAGCTCCACCTCTGATTGTAGTTGGAGAAAAGAACAATTGACTGTTTCTGCAGCTCATCAGCTCCATCTCTGATTATAGTTGGAGAAAAGAACAATTTGTTGCCCTATAATGAACGTCTGCTGCTCAACAAAAGAAACATTTTCTTCTGCAAAGGTGCAATATAAGCATTTTTGAAATTCACTTGAATGGAACACACAATCAGATAATGTTGATCTCTTAAGCCCAGATATAATGTGTAATGTGGTTGTCATCAGTGATGGGAAATACACCCTCACTGTCGTCTAACTATTGAAAAGACTTCTTTGTCATTAAATGTTGCTTGGCCTCAAAAAACGCAGTCTACTACCTTCTATAAACACTGACTGAATTTCTCTACAAATAGTGTTATTTGATGGTTAAACTTAATGAGTTAACATGTCCATGTTCCAGTTGGACAAACATTGCTTCTTTTGTCCAATTAGAACACCCCTCTCTAAACAGGGGTGGTGGACTAAGACACAACTTGTCATCCATCTACAACTCTTTTGAAATCTCTACCCAAACATTTCCACTCTACACACACACCAGGACAATAGGCGTTGGTCCACCTGTGACAGGTAAAGACAAATACCTCCTCCTCACCACCAGTCGGACAGAACTGATGAAGCCTCTTGGGTGAAAGGTGAAATGTCTTCTGCCTAAAACTATGTCCAGATGATTTCTTCTATGTGTTTTCAGCTTAACGAGTTAAATACACCACACATGTACTATTGTATTCATATAGTCTCCAAGCTCTACAGGGAAACAAACCATCTACCCAGTATACTTTTATTGCCAATGAATTTACCACTCACATGAATGGTGGTGTGTTCACAGCTAGTCTCATTAGTGCTGCAGAGGACAGGTGTGATAGAGCGTAGGCTGAACACAGTTTAAATCTCATAATGACATGAGGGACTTTACATGTCAGGGACTCGGTATATGTAACTGTGTGTGTGAAGACGCAAAGCAAACCAAGCCTTGGGCTGAATGAACTTTTCTACAGAAAACTTCTTCTAGGTTTAATCTAGGACTGTTATGTGTGAGAAACTGAGTTTAGTAAATTTGTTTATTTTCTCATTCTTTCTTCCTTTTTCAAGATTTTGGTGTAAATTTACAGAGAGATGGACAGGTTTGACAGGTCCATGGTAAACTGGCACTAAAACACCTGCAAACCTTCAACCCCAAATGATCATGATCAACTTATGATCAACTCAGTAGTATGAGCATATTTTTTATAATTAGTTATTTTCATTTTCCTCCCACATCTATACATTTAAATCAAATTCTTCATGAGCTCATTTTCACTTTGCAGTATGTTGTCAACATGTGAGAGGTCGTGATCTTTAAAATTCATACAGCTGCTATCACAAACTGTACTTTACCTGCAGCACCTATATGAAATAAATAATTTTGAACTAAGCAGCCAAGGGGCACATCTGCATGAAGTAACTCACGTCTACTGTGACAATAGTACGATAAGCCTGCTTTATGACCTTGGTATAATGATTCCACCTCCCTCTCCAGGTCCAGTATCTCAGTGTGCATTTGGCTTTTAAACACTGTCTCTTTGGTCTCTCGAAGACTGAAGTCGCTGTTGAACCTTGAAATCTCTTGCAGGAAGTTCTCTTCTTCATCCTTCGCCTTCCTCTTTACCGTGGCCTGTTGTGAAAAGAAGGATCATACTACAATGACTTCTACAACTGCTACTGATTTTAGGAGAATTCTGAGGAAATCCTTATCTTTAAGCACGTTATTTCACTGTTGTGTAATATTGTATACTATTATTTTTACATTTGCTTTCTTTTCTACCTCCCTGTGTTGTGAATACACACAGTGGGTTGACGTGATCTGTGTTCATATTTTCACAAAAATTGTGCAAATCTGGGATCAGCTTAAAAATGCTTTTTGAAAAATATGACATCCCTTTGAAGACTTATGTGGGAGAGGGGCTGACACAGTTATTTGATGGACAGAAAATTGTCAACCATTCTGGTCAATTTATCAACTGAACTGACAGAGGTTCTTCAGTGACCATCTGGTCTTCTTTTCCATCTTAAATCACTGTAAATTTAATACCTCTTAGACTTTAATCAAATGGTTGAAAGCATCATCTTGGACTATGATGGCCAATTTTACCTATTTTGACATTTGACCAATCAAAAGAATTACTGACACATTAACTGGTTATGACAATAACAGTTGCAGCCATTGTTGCAGGTTTGTACACTGCTTATAGTGGACACTAAAAACAGGTTGGAGTAATTTTAAAAGCTTTGTAACGCAGTAAATAAGGAACAGCTGGCCATTGTTCTAACATACAGTGGCACAATGGCCACTCTCCAAATAACGGTGTGAGATGTAAACATTGATTCCGACTTGAACCCACTAGACGTTCCTTGAGGTGGCTCTTCTGGCAGAGCAGCTCCTCCATTTGCTTCAACATCTGCTCTTCACATTTCTTCATCAGACCATACTGTAACTTCATAGCAGACAACTGCTGAGCCTGCAACACAAACAGGTGAGCAGGAAGTTAAAGCACACAGTCTGACAGACAGATGTACAGGGAGGGAGACAGTACATGTGAGATACTGTATGTGACATGTTAGTGACCCTTACTGAGAAATGGTGAACAAAACTGACCTGTTTCTTAAATTGTTAAATCCTGACTTCATTTGTCAAAGTATCTATATACAGTATATTCCATTTACATGCCGTCCTGTCGTTTTAAAGTCTGGATATTTCTCTCTGCTGACGTGCAGACATTGGACTTTTTTTTTTTTTTTTTGCAGTTTTCAGACTGTTACTCAAGCTGCCAAAGAGGAAGTGAGCTTACTGTTTCTTATATGATAATAGAGAAACACAATACATTTTCAGCAAGCACAAACAGGTCCCAAGTTCTCTAAACACTACTGTACAATTAAGACAGCTCTCATAAACAGTCAGAAAAGAAACTGTGTTGTGTGTTTCCAGAACAAATACTCTGACAGACATGGGGTTTTATTGAGCAACCTTTCTAACTGGACCCACTAATTTCCTCTTTTAATCAGATGTCCACTTTTATAAGCACAGGCAGAAGTTAGCAATATTTTTGAAAGGTCAACAAGCCTTTTGTCATCATATCTCACACATGCTAAAAGGTTTCACTAATGCTATCCGGTGGAAATTAGCCATTGATTTTACACTGGCACTTGCAATTGATCTTTTGCACTGTTGATGAAACAAATTAAATCATAAAGTAGATCAGGTCATCAATATGTACTTCTTCCCCTTATGTGTCACTGTCACTAATACTGTATGCTGCCTCAAGGTAAAACAATTCATCTATATTATACAACAAAGTAAACGTTACATTTACAACACATACAAATTTACAAATGATCTCAGTTTTATAAAGGTTTCCCATGATGACGCTACTGACAAAATGGTAAAATATTAACCAGCAGTCAATATATGATATTATTGTTCCCTAAGCAAGAACCCCAGATAAACACTTATCTGGAGACAAAGTTCAAAGTCAAACCAAATGATATGCTGTGATGCAAGTGAGTACTATGTTGTGCAAATATCAGGCTGTTCAAAACCACAAGTCCCATCGAACATGTAACTCACTCTGAAATGTACTGAAACTGGTGAACAAGCACCAGAACACCCCCAATATCAATTACAACAGGAAAAAACTATTAAAATATATTAAAAATATAAAATTATATCATGAACCTGTTAAAAAAATATTAAAATGTATTTAGGGCATTGTCTTGTGTCAGGAAACTAATAATATTGCAAGTAATTTCAAATACACCCTGCACAAATAATCAAAATATCTAAAGATATCTATGTAAACATACTATTAACACTGTATCAATGTTGCTCTCATGCCATAAAATGTTATAACTCACACATGAGCAAGGCAGTAAAGATAAAACACACACTGTAACATATCCTGACCTTTTTATCAAGTTCAGCTCTGGTGTTTTCATACTTCTCAGTGGTGCTCTTGATCTTCTCATTGCATCTGATGATGGCTACTTTGACTGAAACAAAGATAACTGATTAACAAAATAAGTAGGCTAATGTTAAGATGGACTGAACAAAAAAAGGTGCACTTAAGATAATGTTAAATAATATGTAGGCCACACAAGAGGAAGGTCCCTTTGCTGTTCATGTTGCTGACCTGGCTAGGTGGCACTGTAACTACACCTAGCTTATGGTTATTCAGCTATGTTTCTAGCTGAAATGCCAGCAGGTGAGAAATCATACCTTCTTTGACTTTTTGTGTCTGTGCAGTTAATTGTTGTTCAGTTAGAAGGATTTGTTGAAAGAGTATGTCTAAACTCATTTGGAGTCAAGAGACGGCTTATAAGTAACCTAGAATCAAAGGAACAAATCCTATACTGGATAAAAGGTTTGTAGACTTTCTTCAGTTAATTGTTGTTCAGTTAGAAGGATTTGTTGAAAGAGTATGTCTAAACTCATTTGGAGTCAAGAGACGGCTTATAAGTAACCTAGAATCAAAGGAACAAATCCTATACTGGATAAAAGGTTGACAGCTACTCTACTCTACTCTACTCTAGCCTTTCTTCTTCTTCTTCCTTTGATTTCACTGACTGTTGGCAAGTAGCGAAAGTTGAATTACTGCCACCTACTGGACTGGTGCGTAAAACAGTGAAACAACGAACATGTACAATCGCACAATCAATCAATAACACGCCTTTCAATCAATAACGTGCCTTCTTCAACCAGCTAATTACTGCCCTGGTCCTAGCTTGTATCAGGGCTAACTATGATGCTAACTAGCTAAAGCTACGCCAGTGACCCCGCCCACCCTACGTCACGTCACCTCCAGGCTATGTGATTTAGTTCGTTTTTTTCCTCCATACATTGTAAATAACTCTAAAGTTGATAATAAAACACTGTTTTTTTACTTTATGTTGGTACAAGTTTAAGTCGAAACGCTAACAGGTGCAGTACAGTTGTAAAACATGCAAAGAAAACGACTCCTGCCGATAAAATAAGGTTTGTCAACACAGCTCGCTAACGCAAATCATGTCCAGCTCAGCATCCATTAGCAATACATTGCTAATAAATTAACGCGTGCCTTTTTTTGAGACACCATTCACTACATGTATCTGCTGTTCATAACTTACAGCAGCTTTACCCAAATGTTGTCCCTGAGCCCATTTGTAGGTCTCCACTCACTTCAGGGTTGAGCATTATTGCTGTGCACACTCAGCTCTCTCTACTGTAGCTAATCCACTGGGACCAGCTGAGTTCATTTGTCACAGAACCACTGACTTTGACCAATTTTCTCCTTTCACCACTGGGACAGAAAAGGCTTCTGATCCGGTGCCATGAAGCGCATTACAGCGTGAAACGTTAAATGGCCCGAGGACTACATCATTTTGACATTCATTAGCAAAATTAATATCACATATTGATTGAGGCTTTTCGTAAATCACCAGGCTGAGCCTTGTCCCTGCTGAAAAGGTTCCCTTTGGAGACTTCGGAACAGCAAAGTCATCAAAGTGTAAGCATACAATTAAATTAGATAAGCTGTCGTTGATTTGTACTCATTTTCTGTCTCTGTTCCAGTCATGTCCTGTGCAAACGTAGCTGTGGACGTTGGCCTGTGGCAGACCTGTTTCAGAGATAAAGGTCTTTTTGGAAAGGTGACTGTACCCGTTGATTTGTACTCATTTTCTGTCTCTTTTCCAGTCATGTCCTGTGCAAACTTAGCTGTGGACGCAGAGATAACAGTCTTTTTGGAAAGGTGACTGATTCATTGTAGGACTGATTCATTGTACCTGCAGCTTCCTTTCCAATAAGGGATTTTTCACTGATCTTCGAATGAAGCTCCGTCTCCCTGTATGTGTGTACAGGGCTGATTTACTGGTGGTATACGCAGCATCCTTGATTGATTCGGCCCTGTCTTTAATGCAGAAAGGCTCATTGACATAGTCTGGTCCCATGTATTTGGCCAAGTGGTTTGAATAGACCATATCGACAATCAATGAACTGTAGGAAGAATTACAATCCGCAAGATGCATCATCTGTGTTTTGTTTGTTTGATTTCCTGCCATAGGTTGATCACGTTGATCACAGAAAGGCGTTCAAAATGGGATGCTCATATTTTAATCCCAACATACTGTATCATAAAATAGTTAAGACAGTGACCTTGGCTTTAGAACTACCAACAGATGGCGACAGCCACACAGGGTCCACTCACGGTGTGGACTGAGGACAGCTTTACTTGAAGGGTATCACAGGCCATCAACAGCACAGAACCCGGAGTGTGTCAGCATCACTACCCGGCAGCCTCTTCACCGTTGCCAGCTTCTTCCTCACTAACATTATAGCAAACTGGGAGGAGCCACGTGTGCTTCAAACATCATGAATACGCCACAGTGCGTAGTGTTCAGCCGCAATATGTCCATTTATTTTGTCGCTCAATTGGCACTCAAGTGAAGAAAGGGCTCCAGATATAACAAACTGCCATATAAGCTATTCCACATGTTGCTGTCATGCAATAAAAAAAGCACTTAAGCCATGCTCTTTGACCTCTTCCTGTCAACTTTAGCCCAGTGAAATGTAAACCAGCCCACACACATCAGCAGCTGAGGAGCTAGCTTCATTTTATAACATACAGTTTTGATTATAAAGGACTAGACCGGTGATTTGTGGGGTATGTGTTGTGGAAAGCGAATTAAACACACTACCCCTGTAGAGTTTTGCAGTGAGTGAGCTACAGTGACGGAAACCTTTCCAAATGATCACTGTGCTGCTGTACACCCACTGGGACTTGTCTCCGGGTGCTCATTGGGAGAGTTAAGTGAACTTAACGCTAATTATTTATTGCCTGTGCTGCTGTTATAGTATTGACATAGTAAGGGAGTGAGTTTGCTGTGATAGGAGCCCATCTTTGTAAATTTATGATAAGATCACTGTACTTTAATGCGAAGCTGGCACTCTCCTGCTGCTGAATGCGCTAGACAGCTGTGGGGCTTCAGTTGGCTGGGTGCGCTCAGACGCACAGACACAAGCATCCCACTGGCTGGAGCTGGAGGACAGTCGCCCGACTCGCGTCCACCGCTGCTCTGATCCCTTGTCTTTGTCTCTCGGCGGTGAGAAGACCAGCCCGCGGAAAGGAAAGAAAGAACCATTATTTTTCTATACACTACGAAGAGTCAGAAAAAAACCTGCGGAATCAGGACTTGGCACTTTTTGGAGGGGAAATAATTTCTCGCACGAGTCGAGCAGGATATGTTTCATCGGCGCGCACACTGCTGCGTCTTTTCAATGGATTTTAATACAGTGGAAGTACCCTGGGAATTAAACTACTGTTAAGTCGTTCTTAGTTTGCAAATTTGGTTCAAACGAGGATTAATGCTTCATACTGAGAAGAAGACGATGATTATCGCAGCACTGTATGTTCTTTTGCCTCTTTTAGGTAAGTTTTACTTGGTTCATTAAAACCAAAAGCTGACAGTTTGATAATAATTCACCTCATTGGTTATGAGCACTATAATAACTGGAGTCCGAAAGGCAGCGACTGCTCTCTGAATCTGAGTAACACGTCCAGTAGCCTAAACCACAGGTTTCCTAAACTAGTACATGGAAAACTGCGCTGTCGGTCCTTTAGTGAAAGTCATTTTCACTCAACTCCGGATTTTCAGTTTCCGTGACACAGAGTTTTCACGTTGTCACTGGCAAATCTCTTTAAGCTTTGAATATTTACTGTGAATAACTATACAAATGGCGCTCAAAGGTGCATTATTACTTTTATTGTTAAAATGTGGCTTCTCGTTCCAGATGTGTTGTCTTACGCCGAGGAGAACCTGCGTGGTGTGCCCACCCGGCTGGACTGTGTCAGGGCCAGCGAGCAGTGTCTGAAGGAGCAAGCGTGCAGCACCAAGTACCGCACGATGAGACAGTGCGTGGCCGGCGGTAAGGAGAGCAACTTCAGCATGGTGGCGGGCCTGGAGGCCAAGGACGAGTGCAGGAACGCCATGGACGCGCTCAAACAGAGCCCGCTGTATAACTGCCGGTGTAAAAGGGGCATGAAGAAAGAGAAGAACTGCCTGCGCATATACTGGGGAATCTACCAGACATTACAAGGTTGGTTTAGTTCTTTTGGTGGAACTTGTCAAGAACCACCCCAAGATGCAGCCACACCCCTAGAGCAGATTGTGATTGACAGGTGTAGGCAGTAGAATTTGTGATTTAGTTTAAAGGTCTCTAAGAGAATCAGTCAGCCCCACAGTGTCACTGCTTCTTGTTTGGCGATGCTATAAAACCCCCACAAAGTCTCCCATGTCTTCGACTGGGCAGCACTGGCACATTTAAATATAGTTATATATATATTATATAGTTATAGCAGCTATAGTTATGGTGAAATGGACATTCCCAGCAGGTTTTCTGATCTGTTCTGTAAATGGGTTGATGATTGGTTGCCCTATCTCCCCTAGCCGCTATAGTCCTCACATTCCCTCATAAGCATCCAAAAACTTTAGAAGTTTTACAAAGCTCTGTCTTTAACAGTCCGGTGTGATCATGCGTAGTCACTCAACTTTCATTCAAATTTGGCCCCTGACTTGGTTCACATCCACAGTCCTACAGAGCTGAGGCACTTTTTGACCTCCTAAATCACTTTCCTTGAAGCTAATGGAGCATGAAGCCCCTCAGCGCTGGCAGCGCCATCTTAAAGTGTTGATCACAGCAGGGGGGCCTTTTAGTCCCTGAACTGTATCCAGTCATCAGTGAGTTGACTTCCAGTTGCGCAGCACAGCTGACCAACCTGCCTATTCAAGCGTGTGGCTGTGCGCAAGCATGGATATCGACTGACCCAAATAACCATGTCACACGCAGGCCAATGTGACGGGTGAGGGATGATAAAACAGGAGGGGTTAAAATCTGTCTGTCTGTCTGTCTATCTATGGATGTCTAACATCGACTTGCCTTCCTCACAGGTAATGATTTCTTGGAGGATTCTCCATATGAACCCGTGAACAGCCGTCTATCTGACATTTTCCGCCTGGCTCCCATTATTGGTAAGAACAAATAATCTACTCTGTGGAGTCATTCCTTTGTGCACGCTCTTATTGAAGGTTATTTGTGTGTCAAGTATTATCCTCCCTCATTCTCTCTGCTGTCTGCCTTCCTCTCCCCTCGGTTTTGCCCCAGCAATACTGCATGCTGACTAGAAGTGACCTTGCATTAGGGAGCTATAGTTCTGGGTCTCACCAAGAAGCAGTGGATAAATGCTTCAGATGTAGAAGGAGGGCTCTGTTGTTAGTGTAGTTAGCTGTGGTTGTGGACAGCTTGTGGCTGTTTGAATCCACTTGTTGAAAAGAGCATGAGTGAGTAGCTCTGTCAGTAATGTGGAAAAGCATGACAGGCAATTTTCTGTTCACATCTATGTGTGGGAGTGAGCTTGACTCAAGCCTCTAGATGGCGATGTTATTCCCTTCTTCACAGCCACTCAACTGCTCCGTGCTCCCACAGTTGAAGCCTGCTTTGGGTATTTGAAACACTGATGTATGAATGTGGTACAGTGATGTAGCTGCTAACAATTTCATTATTAAATTGCAGATGAGTACTATGTCTAATCCGACCCAGATCTTCAAACAACAAGGCTGATATTTTGACCCCTTTTGATAGAGTGGAGCCTTTTTTCCTGTTTCCTCTGTCTCAGAATCAAATGCTTCTCCTACAGCAGGGTGAGCTCATAATGTAGGTGGGGAGGTACAGATACAAATCACTGACTGAGAAGTCAGCGTTTTTTGTAAAGCCTATTTTCTCCTCTTGCTCCTCTGTGTAGAAAAAGAGGACTTTCACAGGAAGCAAACTACTGTATATGACCCTGGCCCTTAATATGCCAGTGGGTCCCAGCAAAGGGCGAGACACCCACAGGCCATCAGGGCTGAAGAATGTGCAGCACAGGATCATAGTTCACTCCACAGACATGTGCCATCTCTCGACAGCCGGAGCTGCAGGTTCCAGGTGTGGGAACAGACAGATTTATAGTGTCATTCTTGTCGTGAAGGCTGGCATTCCTTATTTGTTGTCTGAATGGCTCGTTATGTTGATGTATGGCTTGGCATGTACAGTATTCTCTCAGCCATCATATCAGCCTGAGTCTGTCATTACTGTACACTTATGGAGAGTGGGGTTGCAACAACTCATTATTGTCATTATTAATTAAACTGTAGGTTACTTTTTTTTGCTCAATTAATTATCTCATATGTTGAAATTTAATGAAAATATGCAGAGCGCAATTTCTCACAGCCCAAGGTAAAGATTTTCTAAATGACTCAAATGACTGATCAGTTTTTGAGATGGTTGTTGATTAAATTTCTAGGAAGTAATTCAGTGGTTCAAAGTCTTTTTGACTTGTGATACATTAAAATGAAGCAACATTTAGATGTGAGTCCTTGTCAGTTGAGATAAATGATTTTTCCTTTTCAGGCTGAAGAAGCGAGTAAAGTTTAGGAAAAAATGTCATGTTGTGTAACATACAACAACTTATTTCATTTTTATTCATCTTGGGAATGTTAGATTTATTTACAGTATGGACCCCATCGATTTTTTTGGAAGGTCCCAAACTACTGTACGTTGGGTCCACTTGACTGCTGTTGCAAGTACCTTGTTATATTTACTGAGAGATTTGTTTAAAGCTCTCTTTTGACAGGTCAGGTCAGTCTGGGTTTATCCTGGAAAGCATGACCACTGACAGAATTTAAAGGTTCAAGCTAGAAGAAGAATAGCATCTGATCATTAGAGGAGAGTCATAAAGCAGGGGATGGAGGGTGAGAGGAGAAGGCTGCAGAGGTGAGGGTAGGTCAGTGAATGCCAGGGTAAGGCTAAGAGGGTGGGAGTGCTCAAAGAGAAAGCATCAGCTCACTCTGCCTCTTCTGTGCTTTCTATGGAACTCAAAGGGCAAGGTGACAGGCGAAGGAGTGAGGCAGAGATGATTAGAGCTTGCTTGTGATCTCTCAAACAGCTTTATATGTTTCTGTTTGTGGTGCAGCACAGATCTAGAAAATCATACCAAAAAAGCCATAAAACATACATAATTTGAAAAGGGCCTGATATAAAATGTACTCTCCTGAGATTCTAGTTTTTAAATTATGCACACAGAACTTTATATTGCAGGTAGGAGTGGTACTAGAGTGCAGTACACTACACAATTTGATAGTTTTTCTCATTGTCTTTCTATAGGTTCTATTTTCTTAGGTCTCCTGTATCACCTGCACCTTTCACATACCTTCAGTGTGATGCTGAAAGATAAAATACTAATGAGAGCTTTTATTGTGGTTCATAGTGCAAATTAGTAAAGGACACAGTTTTATTTTTGTGGAATGTGTGGAGGTTTCAGGCCCCAGTTTGTGATTTGTGTCGTCAGTCTGTGGTCAACCCCGTTTTTCGGCTCTCCAAACATGCCTTGTGTTTCTCAGTACAAGTCAGTGATCCCCAGCCATAGGAGCAATAGGCAGCCACCCTGATCCTGTAATTCCATAACCAACTCCATGTCTCTGACTCTAGTGACACACATACATACAGTGCACAGATGAACAGACACACACTGCTGTGCCCTGGACACTTGTTTCCAGTGACACACCCATAGGCATCAGTCTGATTTCATTAGAGAGACATGTAGGGTGCCTTCTGGGCCACACAGACTTACTGGATATGCAACTGAGGTAGGGTTATGATGTACAGTAAAGAATGCAGGTATTAAGATTCAACAAGAAAAGGCACGTTTGTTAGAGCCTGTGTGTAACAGAAGACACGTGCCATAATCCCACAAGCTGTAACGCGTCTCACAGATGATCATATTTTTTACTACGTCATCATCTACATTACTAGTCATTAGTCACTGTCAAGCTCTGGAAGAGGCTATTGCTTGTTTGTGTTTGTAAACACAATTTTAATAAATAATAAAACATGATAGAATGTTTAAATTAAATGACTAAATCTAAGTCGATTTTTGTTAAGAAATATACATGTGTATATAACATTCAGGCTAATAGATGAACACACACACACACACACACACACACAACACACAGAGGTTCCACTGGGCTCATTTACCTAATGATGTTCTGGTACCTGGGGCACAGTGCTGTTACCTCCTGGCCTGAGTCCAGTGAGTCACAATCAAAATGTAAGCAGCTCACTTTTCTGCACCAAAAAAGTCAGCTACTGAGAGTAGCAGCACGTTGCAGTGGTGTTTTTAGAGAAAACTGGTTGCGCAGTCCTTACATTAGATATTTGATTATTCATTTTTTGAAAGAATCGTGTTGTCTGAGGCCTACTTCTGGACATGACGTTGGCACTGTTGCATATTTAAGGATTTCAGATTGCTGCAGGCAGCCCTGGTTTTAATGGACTTCAGAAGCAGCACAGATTGAATGTCGTGTTGTTTGCTTTGGCAGTCCGTCCTGTCGGTGTCAGCATATCTTTGCTGCTTGGAATCTGCAGGAAGTGTTGCAGGATCAGCAGCCCCGTCATCTTTCCTGTCGATTGATGTGATCATTCAGGAGATGATACATTGCAGCCACTCTCCTTAAAGTATGAACATAGCACACATACAACAACTATCAGAAACTGTCGAGTACCTGGTGATAACATCGTATTTTCACAGAAATGTTATAAATGGTTTTCATAATACAGAACAGTCTTTTTTTGAGAGTTGCCAATTCCATCATATATTCATTCCTGTGATGACATGATGACAACTTGAACACATCAGTTGTGGTGACAGTAAACAAGATATTGTGTTTGAAGACATAGCAAAGCATGCACACTTCTTTTATTTTGTCAGTACTTCAGTTTTTAATGCAGGCTGTTCATTGCTTTCCTTGCTTTCCTTTCTTAACATGTCTATGCCCGGTCTCCTTTATCTTTCTTTCCCTCTTTCTCTGTTTTGGTGACTCCCTTTTAGTTAAAGGGCTCAGTGCATTTTCCCCATTAGTGGAAAAAGTGTGCTGGTCTCACTTGATCCCATACAACATGGATGAGATATGTAGATGCAGAGAAGTATACCTGTGTTAGATATAAACTAAACATTTCTTACTGCACATGTGGCGTTTTCATTCACTGTGTGTATACTGGTACGTTATGATGTGTAACCTTTCTAGAGATATGTTGGTTTTGTTAGAGGCTAGCTTAGTAAATCAGTAAACAAACAGACATCACACTGAGTAGAAAAGCAATAATTTTATATTGCACTGTGTGAGTTTGTGTAAGCTTAGAGGATGGAAAGAGCAGAGTTTAGATGAAATGGCTGCTTTTCTTCTCACCAGTTGCCCGTGTTTATGAGTCAGTGATCCATGCAGGAGGGAGCAACACAGAAACAGACAGCATTATTCTCAGATTCAAGTGGACTTGGAATTACTGCCGCACCATCTGGTCCAGGCTGCGGGAAAATCAAAGCAGCATAGGAAATGGATGAATTCATCGCCTGGGGAGGTTTTGTATTACTGTATTCATGATCACCTGCTGTTCCAGGTACCTTTTGGGTCCCATTTAAAACTTCTTCTCCACCTGTTATTTTCCTCTTCCCACCTCTTCATCTGCTACTTCTTGTTCTTGTTCTGCATCGTCTTGTTTTTCAACATTTTGAATATCTAGAAATATACAGCATTGCATGCCCAGTTTGTCATCATCATCATCATCATCATCTCATTTTTAATTCCTATGGACTGCCAAAGCACAACTGAGGTATGCTTGACTTAAACAATACATTCCTGTATCTGCAGAATGAGTAACTTGCAATAGTTTCATTGCATTCTGGCAAATCACTACAAAGATCATAGTGCATGACTGCTCTGTTTGCAGATAAGACTGTTTTATTGTGTGAGCCAGTTGTCATTTAGAAGCAATACGCTGAGAGGTGAGACAAATCTACCACGGAGCAAAAAGTGATACTAAACGTAACCGACAGTTTGGGCAGCAGCCAAAAGTGACTTAACAACAGAAGCTGTGGGTAAATGATGGGGTGGCAGTGGGTGAAAATGGATAAGAATGTCACAGATTCCAGAAGGTG